GTGACGTCATTTCATTATTTGTTCACTGACTTCTGTGTTCTTTAAGGTATAAGTCACACACACACAATTTAGACATCTTAACTGTACAGCTTAGTTTTGCACAAGTGTACCCATATGAAGAGAGAGGAAATTTCCCTGCTTCAGAAGGCACCCTGGGAAGTCAATACTATTGGCCCACAGATAACTTATTCAAATCTTTCCTTTGTAAATGTTTATTTTGATTCAAATCTTTCTTACTATTTTTTTTTCATGTCTTTTTTTTTCTTTTGTGACCCACTGAGTTTAATTACTATGGGTTATAGGACTGTGGGTGAGGCATTATTTGCAGGAAAATGAGACTTACCAGTGACTTCAGACTGAAGAAAATATCTCCCCTCCAGCAACCTTTAAATGATTATAGATTTTTTAGGGCAGGGTGACTCATTAGCCCCCCACCTCCAATATTTGTTTTCGAGACAAGAGTCTCATCTGTCTCAGGTTGGCTTCTTTGGAGCCAAGGATGACCCTGAACTCCTGATCCATCTGCTACCATCTCCTAATTTGCTAGGATTTCAGGAATGAAGCACATGCCCGTTTTATGGGGCGCTGGAGATCCAGCCCAGTGCCTTGTGCATGCTAGGCGAGCATTCTACCAGCAGAGCAATATTCTAGCATTTGGTGGCTTTTGGAAAGTGTTGTGGAGTAACACAAAAAAACTCATGAATTCTCTCAAAGTATTGTTTAATTAATTTATATCCAAATAGTTAATTACTGACTATAAGCCAGGTAGAAGGAATCACTATTGTCACAAGTCTAAAGAAGACTTGAAGGTGGACTAAGCATCAATAAAAGGCAGGGGCAAACGCTGCCAGCAGGATGTGAACAGAGCTCTGTAGATGCAGAAGTGGGGAAACCCTCACAAAGGATGTGGGGCTGAAACTGGAAAGGCGAGAACTCCCTGGGCCAAGAGAAGAGATGCACACAAGCCAGGCACCTGGAGGCTCAGTGAGGAGAACTGTGGAAAGGCCTGGCTCATCTCCTGAAGGGACTGGCAAGCAGTAGGGGGAGAGAGGAGGGGAGGGGAGGGAGGGAAGGGAAGGGAAAGGAAAGGGACTATGGTTGGAATAAAGGTAGAGCACAAAATAAATGTTTGCTTAATTAAATTGTCTGGGAAGGAACTCAGCTGCCTTCGGCAAATAATCCCAGAGGCACTAAAGGAAACAGTCGGCAGCCCGTGAGTGACGGTGTGCACTTAGCAAATGTTCCGGGCAGACTTGGGTTAAAATGCTGGGAAGGGAGTTCTAGAGAGCCATAAACATATACTTCCTGGCCTATGTAGACGTATCTAAGAAAGTTTTGTATGAAATTTAGAGTCTGAAAATATTCTCTTTCACAGAGGAGGAAAGTAATGGTGGACAAGTGACCTCTTTAAGTGCCTTGAGCCACACAAGTGGCCAGTGGGCCCCCTCCCCCACCTCAGTCAACTGCCAGGTTCCACCCACAGAATACTCCAAAACTACCCTAACTGCTGAACCCTTCCCCCATTTTACAGAGTAAAAAATCCAATCTCTGGACACGAAATCCCACCAATGGCCACCTTGGAAAGCATCCCCCTGGAAAGTTCCACCCCCTACCCTGGAAACTCCATATAAGCCCTGTATTCAGTTCAGTCTCTTGCTGTTTCTCACCTGAGCAGAGGCAGCCAACCTCTTGGTTTTATCCCTCCCAATAAGTCTCTTGTGTGAGGTTGTTGTGCAGTGTGACTTTGTGGGATTCCTCGGCTCTCAGCCGCCAGGATTCCTTTCCATCCGAGCTGTAACACTGACAACTTCGTTATGCCCAGGATCTGATTAGTAAAAGATTATGAAGCCATGAAGAGCATGCTCTCTGAGTCTGAAAAGCTTGGGCTAGTGAATGACTAATGTGACCTTCAGCAAGTGCCTAAATCCCCAGCCCCTTTTTCTTTATCTGTGAAACAGATAGTTATACCCGTTTTGTAGGTAGCCTCTAGCATGGGGCTTATGGAGTTCGGCATTCCCTTTAGCCTTCTTCATAACACAGGTCACTGAAAAGAAATCCAGAGGTCCAAGGAAAGGGGGTTCACTAGCCCATCAAGCAGGGCCTTATAAGGTGCCAGGGCTCTGTGGCAGTGTTCCCTGTTATCTAGGTTTTGTTCTTAACCCCCAATGTCTTAAAAGTTGATATTGTTAGAACTTGCACAGTGGAATGGTTTTCTATGCTAACAAAATACTCTGGAAATTTATGAGCAGTTAGGAAAGAAAGCATGACCCCAGCATTAGGTACATTCTCATAGCAGGCTCTCCTTTCTCAACCTCTGAGTTTCACTTTCCTGAGACAAGATCCCTCTGTGTAGACCAGGCTGGCCTGAAACTTGTCCTGAGATCCACCTGCCTCTTAAGGGTGTGCACCCCAATGCCCAGTGATTTGTTTATTGTGAAGTGTTTTGTTTGCTTGCATGTATTTCTTGGTGCCCACAGTTAGAAGAGGGGAGTGTGGGTTCCCTGATACTGCGGTTACACATGGTTGTAAGTCACTGTGTGGGTGCTTGGAAGTGAACCCAATTCTTCTCCAGAAGCAATGAGTGCTCTCTTTCTACATATTTTTTAATTAGATTTTTAAATTGATTTTATTGAGCTCTCCTTCCCTTCCTCTCCCCTTCCCTTCAACCTTCTTCCATGGTCCCCATGCTCCCAATTTACTCAGGAGATCTTGTTTTTTTCTACTTCCCATGTATGTCTCTCTTAGGGTGTTCATTGTTGTCTAGGTTCTCTGGGATTGTGAATTGTAGGCTGGTTTTCTTTGTTTTATGTCTAAAATCCATTTATGAGTGAGTACATATGATATTTGTCTTTCTGGGCTCTCTATATATTCTTAATGTTGGAGAAATACAACATATTCCCATCAAAATGCCACCTGTGAATTCTGTAAACTCATTCACTTTCTAAAGTGAAATGAAATAATTAAAAAAAAAGGGTTAGGATTATTTTCTGAATTATGTTACATTTCACTTACTGAGGAAACACCTTCATTGACTTTTTTTTTTTTTTTAAATTTTGTGGACAGAGTGAGTTCCAGGACAACCAGAACTGTTATGCAGAGAAACCCTGTCTTTTGTTTTCTTTGTTTTGTTTTTTGCTTTTTGAGACAGGGTTTCTCTGTGGCTTTTGGAGTCTGTCCTGCAACTAGCTCTTGTAGACCAGGCTGGCCTCGAACTCAAAGAGATTCACCTGCCTCTGCCTCCCAAGTGCTGGGATTAAAGGCATGTGCCACCACTGCCTGGCGAGAAACCTGTGTTGAGGGGAAAAAGAATTGTGTAGCACAGGCTAGTCTTGAACTCCTGGCAATCTTCATGCCTCAGGAATTCTAAATGCTGGGGTTAGACTTGTGACCTCAAGCCCTATGATTAGATTTGGTCATTCCCCAAGTATGTGACATCTTCCCTAGGACTAATTTCTGCATATTGCTAACATTACCTAACTTAATTCGCATAATTAACTAGCCTGCTGCCATTTCTAGATATTTCATCATTTGTACTAGTGTTAACGCCCAGTATCGTTCATTGGCCAGTGGGGCTGGAGAGGTGGCTCAGCAGTCATTGAAAACACTGCTTAGTCTTCCAGAGGACTTAGGTTCCATTCTCATCACCCACAAGATGGCTAACAGCAGTCTGCAATTCTAGTTCCCCGAGATTCGAGGCCTTGCCCACCACTGGCATCAGGCACGGACAAAACACCCACACACATAAAATAAAAATAAATAGCCCTCCCCAAAAATGAGGATGAAAATTAATATTAGAAGAGCGCTAAAAGGGTAGAATTGAACTCTATTGTTTTCATCATAAGCATACCACCTTCACAGGGTTACCAAGATGAGGGCTAGGTTTTGTTAGGTAGCGTCGGGAGGAGACACTAGGAAGAAACAGAGGGTTTCCAGAGAGTTTAAAGGAAAAGTGCTGGGGTAGGGGTGGGGATGGGGACGATGTTGAACTCAAGCCAGAGTCTGTAGACAAAACTATTCACATTAGGGCTTGTCGCTGAAATCTTAGGGAGGAAAACGAAGTGGACAAGGGCAGATTGATGTTAAGGAAGTAAATGACAGGATACGGTGTTGTGACAAAGGCAAGATCAGAGTCTATCTTGGTAGCTGAAAGTCTGTGGGTGCAATTCTTGGGGGAGGGCAAAGGAAAGCGGAGTTCACGTTCTGATGCTATAAGATGCTCGTTGAGACAAACGAGCTAAATATCTGGTAAGCGTTGATTTGATACAGCAGTCTGAGGTAAACGAGTCTGGATTAGCAGGAAGCTTGTCAGCCTTCTTTCTCAGAGTTAAGAGCTGGGGATAGGATAGTTCGGCTAAACTCGTGGATTTAGACGAGGGGAGAAAACAGGAGCAGGGTAAAGAAAATGGGAGAAGAGATCAAAAGAGGGAGACATCTTGAAAACTGGGGGAACAAGTATGGTGGCGACAGACGCCTCCTAGAGGTCAAAGAGAATGGCAATTTCATCTAATCCTTGGTCTGGGTGAGCCACAGACAAGGCTAAGGAAGGGGAGGGAGGAAACTTCGTTAGTTCTTTTACGGATCCTGCCTATGAGAGACCGGGAAGGTCAGACTTGAAGAGTAATTTAAAGCTTCAAGGGGGAAAAAATCCAATACTTTTGAGGGGAGTGGCTTTCTGTGCTCTTGGAGGGTGGTAGTGGTTTCTCTAAACCTTTATAAGTTACCATACTAAAATAAACAGCTCCGCAAAAGTCTTCTGCCTTTAAAAATTCTGTGATGTAAATAGGGAGCTTTAATGTGGCGCTCATCGATTGGTAAATTAAAAAAAAAAAGTCCGTCATTTCCGGTACTGCAGGATGTAAAGCATGGAGTCTACCTTCTGCTCTCCCATTGGCTATTGGAGGCAGCTCTGCTTTCAGCCAATCAAACCACTTTTCCTTCACCCCTCCCGACAGATCTTATAAATTACACCAAATTGCTTCACCTTTCCTTATCCTTTTCTTGAAAAAGCACCAGATATTGCCTTTTCCGCCATAATGTCTGGCCGCGGTAAGCAAGGAGGCAAGGCCCGCGCCAAGGCCAAGTCGCGGTCGTCCCGCGCCGGCCTGCAGTTCCCGGTGGGGCGCGTGCACCGGCTGCTGCGCAAGGGCAACTACGCGGAGCGCGTGGGTGCGGGCGCGCCCGTGTACATGGCGGCCGTGCTGGAGTACCTGACGGCTGAGATCCTGGAGCTGGCGGGCAACGCGGCCCGCGACAACAAGAAGACGCGCATCATCCCGCGCCACCTGCAGCTGGCTGTGAGGAACGATGAGGAGCTCAACAAGCTGCTAGGAGGGGTCACCATCGCACAGGGCGGCGTCCTGCCCAACATCCAGGCTGTTTTATTACCAAAGAAAACGGAGAGCCATAAGCCCGGCAAGAACAAATAATTCAATATCCCTTCTAACCCACAAAGGCTCTTTTAAGAGCCACCAAAGAGTCAACTAAAAGGGCTGATCACAAACTAGCGCGTTAGCTCATTTTATGAGAACTTGGTGGCTCTAAAAAGAGCCTTTTTTGGGTTGACGTCAGTTTCACTTGCTCTTAGTCTTGTGGCTCTCGGTCTTCTTGGGCAGCAGCACGGCCTGGATGTTGGGCAGGACGCCGCCCTGTGCGATCGTCACTTTGCCCAGCAGCTTGTTGAGCTCCTCGTCGTTGCGGATGGCCAACTGCAGGTGGCGCGGGATGATGCGCGTCTTCTTGTTGTCGCGGGCCGCGTTGCCCGCCAGCTCCAGGATCTCAGCCGTCAGGTACTCCAGCACGGCCGCCATGTACACGGGCGCGCCCGCACCCACGCGCTCCGCGTAGTTGCCCTTGCGCAGCAGCCGGTGCACGCGCCCCACCGGGAACTGCAGGCCGGCGCGGGACGACCGCGACTTGGCCTTGGCGCGGGCCTTGCCTCCTTGCTTACCGCGGCCAGACATGACTTTACAGTAAAACTAACTTTTGTAGACTTTACTACAAAACTAGGGTTTAGCGTCTTAAGGCCTTTATACGCTTTCCTAGGGGTGGGGTCAGGAGTCAGCTTTTCATTGGTTGTAATTTGGTCGCAGAGAAGTCCAATGAAATCTGAAATTTAGAATCTTTGTTACGTAGGCTTGTACTGAAAACACAAGTTTCATGTATGAACCAATGGAAACAAAAAGTATCTTGAGGCCTAATTTACATAAGGTGGTTATAAAAGGCTCAGGTCCTCGGGGTTGCAGCTTGTTTTCTCAATTAACTAGGCAACTCTCCTGTGTTTTGCAATCATGCCTGAGCCGGCTAAATCCGCCCCGGCTCCCAAGAAGGGTTCCAAGAAGGCTGTCAACAAGGCGCAAAAGAAAGACGGCAAGAAGCGCAAGCGCAGTCGCAAGGAGAGCTACTCCATCTACGTGTACAAAGTGCTGAAGCAGGTGCACCCCGATACGGGCATTTCGTCCAAGGCCATGGGCATCATGAACTCGTTTGTCAATGACATCTTCGAACGCATCGCAGGCGAAGCTTCGCGCCTGGCACATTACAATAAGCGCTCTACTATCACGTCCCGGGAGATCCAGACGGCCGTGCGCCTGCTGCTGCCGGGCGAGCTGGCTAAACACGCCGTGTCGGAGGGCACCAAGGCGGTCACCAAATACACCAGCGCCAAGTAGAGGCCCGCCTGGATCAGGCACTCGCTGCCCCTCTTGCATAATCACCTGCTTAAATCAGGAAAGAGCTTTGTCCACTTGCATTAGTTTCTAGTTTCTATTCCAAAGTTAAACTTCAAGGATCTTGGAGAAGGTACACTTCAGTTTTAAGCGTTTGTAGTTTTGAGGTTCTCTGAGCTGGTTTGCAGTTGGCTGTAGAGCTCGCACTCCATTTAGCTCCTAGGAGTTACTTTCAAACTAGGGTAATGGAGGTTGGCCTCTTGGCCGGGTTTCTTCCGTGTTCTAGACTGTTCGGACACTTTATCGACCTAAGTGAGATGACTGACTTGATTACTTTGTCGGTTAGAGGGCTCCAGGACACACCTAAACCTGTGGTGACCAATACTGTGTACCACCCAACAACTGAAGTCGCTCGGTTCAGCTATGTGTCCTGGGTACAGACAGTTTCCGGTAGTTTAGGGCGGTGTCCTTGCCTGTAACTGATTAATTTACCAACACGAACGTGCGGCGTTGTTGCGAATTTGGTAGAACTCTGTTGGGGTTCTCCCTCAAGCTTTAGATTCCTGTCCATGGCTTATGATTTTCTTTTTTCTCCCCCATTTAATACTTTGCGTTTACCGCTGCGGTGCCAGGGTGCCGCTAAGATATAGCTCATTTTTGCTCTGGACCCATGAAGCGATCTAATTCACTAACCCTAGGAATTAACTTCTTCCTGCTTGTCGCGTCTCCACACTCTGAAGTCGCTTGCTTTCCTGTTTACACTGTGGTCAAGCCGACCAGACGTTCTGATAAGTCCAGAGCCCGCAAATGCCTGACATACTCCAAATGCTCAAGTATTTATTATTGAATTAATTTTTGTATCACTGCTTTTGTAATTGCTTCCGTGGTTCCGGGGATGGGGGTGGCGTTGTCTGTTCGATGGAACAGAAGTGTTTGAAGACTCTTTCTCCCAATCTGTTAATGCGATGGCTGTTCTTGGTTGTCAACTTGATTACATCTGGAAATAACTAAAACTAAAGTGACAGTACACCTGTGAGGGATTTTTTTTTCTTAAATAATTTGAAGTGAGAAGAAGCACTTTTAGTCTGAATCTTTTGAGATGGGAAGACCCACCTTTAATCTGGGCCACACCTTCTGCTGGCAGCCTGTATAAAGGACTTGAAAGAAGGAAGCTTGCTCTGGCTGGCTGGTCTCTTCCTTCACTGGCGTTAGAGCCTACTTCTGGATTCTGGCATATACAGAAGATGAGACATCCAGCCTGGTGGACCCAACAGCTACTGGATTCATGGACCTTCTGTTGGTAGGCTGCCACTGTTTGTTAGACTAGATGAACCCCAGTCTGTAAGCCATATATTTATGAAAAAAATCACATATATATTTCACTCTATAAGTTCTGTACCTTGAGAACCCTGATTAATACAATTACCTCAGTGTAATTGAGGCAGAGCCAGAGGGGTTAAGACTCTGTGTGTGTGTGTGTCTATGTGTGTGTTTGCCAGGAGCTGAATTTTTCACAATTTAGAGTAAACTCTTGGATTTTCATTAAATTGAGAGCACTTGGCTTTGGGGAAAAGCCTCCTTTTACCTCTACCAACATCTTCATTCCTAGTTTTTCTATTCCCTACTGAGATGAATTTTCAATTTACAATTTTCCCTTTCATTTACTTTTCAGAGGGTTCTGCAAGATGGGCCACAGAGTTACTAGTGAAACTGATGGAAGCTAGGTGCTTGGTCCCACTGCCATGCCCAACACTGTCTGCTTTCGTCTCCGTCAAGTCAGCTGCCTTGGCTTGCTTTTGTGAATCTTCCCTTCACAGTCTTGATTTTGCTGATGAGGGCACTTGATGCTCTCTGATCACTTTCTCGGTTCTGTGTTAAGTTAAGGGTTTCTGAAGCTGACAAGAGGAGCTTTGTGAATCCAAAATGAGCTCCAGACACTGGCATAGATTGACTAAGTCCTGCTTACCGCATGAGCATTTCTAAGTGTGCAGACGCCGTTATTATTAAATCACATTACCAATTAGTTTCAAATTTTTGCTGGATTGTTTTATGTGGAACTCATTTTCTCAAAAAATAAAATGAGCAGATATAACTGTTTGTGGTTGGCGCTGTGGAAATGCTGGATGTCTCTGGTTTGAAACATATTTCTAAGCCATTAGCCAGGGCTTAGGGGTGTAGCTCAGAAGGTTTGCCAAAAATGCACTGACGGCCTAGTTTCAAAAACACAGGCACACACATACACACACACACATGCACGTTCATGTCCATGCATGTACACACACCTTCCTCCAGCCAAACTGCTTCCCTAGAGGTGCATTGGGGTTGAAATACCCTACAACAAGGCCATTTGTTGATTCCTAGTGATTGAGAAACATATGGCCATGTATAAAATGTATTACAAACAGGATGTGTGAAGTAAAACCCCTGGTAAAGTTTAGCCAACACCTGCAGAATCCATGGGATGTACTAGGGAGTATTCTATGCCCTTTATATATACTGGCTCATTTTATCTTCATAGAGAACTTTGGGAAGTTGGTCCCCTTACTATCTCCCATTTTATAGCTATGGAAACAGAAGTCCAGTGCTTCCGCTCCTCACAAACTGTCCGAGGCAAAGTCTCCAGGTTAGTTTTATGGGACTTGAGAAAGATGGACTACTCCCTGAAAATCTGGGCATTTGGGGAAATGCTCTGCATTTGAGAAGAGGGATTGAAATATCCATACTTAATATTCAACTCCTCCATCCCCTTTCGAATGCACCCTGCATCAAAATCCAGAAGGGTAGTGGCTAACCTTGGGAATGGAATAGTGAGACTGACTTTCCATCCCAGAAGTCATAGCTCCAGCCAATTTAGCTTGTCCCGGCAGGAGGAAAGGGTTGTGGGGGCACTTGGGGGAAGGGTTTTACCAACTCACATGCTTTCACCAGCATAAGAAACCTAGTGACTTGTTTGGGGCGCCCCAAGCCCCCAACCCTAGGCTCTTATGATAGTCTTGTAGCAGATGCAGATGAAGAAGGAAGTGGTAAGAGAACCTGGTACTTTAACCCTGGACGAGAAATTAGTACAGCGAGATTAACCTTGCATTAAACTTCTCCCGTTCATTTGTTTACTTTAGGTTAATAATAATTGCTGCAGGGGGCTGGAGAGATGGCTCAGAGGTTAAGAGCACTGCCTGCTCTTCCAAAGGTCCAGAGTTCAATTCCCAGCAACCACATGGTGGCTCACAACCATCTGTAATGATGTCTGGTGCCCTCTTCTGGCCTGCAGGCATACACGCAGACAGAATACTGTACACATAATAAATAAATAAATATTTAAAAAAAAATAATAATTGCTGCAAAAATAATTGCTGCTTCTACTTGCTGATCACTTGACTGCTGACCTGGCCTCTGCTTAGGGGCTTACACATGTCACTTTATTATTATTATTATTATTATTATTATTATTATTATTATTCACAGTCACCATTTAAGGTATGTTTCAGTATTGTTGTCTTTATGTTATAGATAATGAGAAAAGCCTTAGAAAGCATAAATAGCTCATCTGGGATCATTGAACAAGTTGTCGATCTACAACCCAATGCGCACCTTTTTGTTATTTTGAAGTCTCACTGTGTAACTCAGGCTGGCACCAATTCTGCAGGGATTCCTCCTTCTCAGACATCTAAGTGCTGGGCTGCAGAAGGGAGCCACCACACCTGACTTTAGCATATTAGAGATCTGTTCACCTTGGTGCACACATATCAGTATTTTTTTTTCTGACTACAATGTAATTATTAATCCACTTACCTGTTAATGTACAATGGATTGCCCTAGTCCTTACCCCACTCTTGTATTTTCTCTCTCCTTTTCCTTCCCATACCTTTTGAATGTACTCCAACTTTGGGCCATGACGATTCCATAGAGAAGTGCAGTAAAAGTTTCCCCCCCTTAGTTGAACGCGAGCACAGAGGGAGAGATGAAACACACACACATATTCATTCTGTGCAAGTGGGAGCAGGGCTGTCTCTGCTCTCCTCTAGGCTCCAGTCTCCCTATGTTCCTTCCGCTGCAAGTCCTCTCTAGCACAGATCTGACCCCTCCCTCTGCTCGCGCACCTCCACTGTCGGTTCACTGCCTCTGCTTATAGTGAAGCAGAAAACAACAAACCACATTCAGTTTCCACGTGATCAGTGGATCCTGGGCCTTCAAGAGGAAGGCCATTATGCTCCTGGGTCTTAGGACCTGACAAGCACCCCACCCTGTGGCTGAGACCTTGCCTGTGTGACACAGGTTGAGGAAGAGTGTGTGTGACCGTGTAGGTGACTTTGTGTAGGACAGAGAGAGAAACCTTGCCTGTTGGTTGTGACTGTGTTTGCTTTCAATAAAGTTGCCCTGTGACAAAGGCACAAGCAAACAACAAAGCAAACCAACCAAAAAGGAGGGAGATTGTCTGAGCTCATACTTCTCAGCAAAAAGGCCTGAGGTCTAGCTTTATTTGTGTTCCAGGAACTGACATTTATTCTTTATTTATCTTCAGAAATTGACCTTTAACCAAGAGATTATCCCTGTGATTAGGATGATTGAGAATGTGTACTTTTATAAATATCTATTAACATTATTAAGAAAGCCCCTCGCCTGGTGGTGGTGGCGCACACCTTTAATCCCAGCATTTGGAAAGCAGAGGCAGGAGGATCACTGTGAATTCCAGGCCAGCCTGGTCTACAAGAACTAGTACCAGGACAGGCTCCAAAGCTACAGAGAAACCCTGTCTAAAAAAACCAAAAACCAAACTAAACCAAAACAAACCAAACCAAAACAAAAAAACAAAACCAACCCTCCCCCCACCCCCCCAAATAAGAAGGCCCTCTAAGGCCTCTCAGAGCTTATTAGGTATAGCATCATTCATTCATTTACGAATCTTTGGAGTTGGGCCTGATGGTACAAACAAGCCTACAATTGGCTTCTCTGTGGACTGAGGCAGGAGGATCACAAATTCAAAGCCTTTCTGGAGAACTTAGTGAGCCCTTGTCCCAGAAAGCAAGAGGAGGGTTGAATATATATCTTAGAGGCAGAATGCTTGCTTCTCATGTTTGAGATCCTAGATTCAGTCTCTGGGGACAAAGAAAAAAGCAATTGCAAGCTCGTGAGGTGGTGCAAATCTTTAAAAATTCCAGCACTTGGAAAGCAGAGGCAGGAGGATGTCTGTGAGTTTGAGGTCAACCTGGTGTACATAGGGAGTTCCAGGACAATCAGGATTACATAGTCCCTTTCTCAGACAAACAAACAAACAAACAAATAAATTCCTGTCTGTTAGATGGCAGACAATTGTCCAGGCAGTGACGATTCAAGATTGAACAGAACAGAGTGGCTTCTGTCTCCCTAGACTTTTAGTGCCTAGAAAGAAAGACGTTAAATCAGTGATGATAATAAATAATGGAAAGTCTTAAGATAGGGGAAGTATGATGCAGAAAGTGTGATGCGAGGTGTCCTACAGCATTGGACGGTTGTCCTAGCTACTTTCCTATTGCTCTGGTGGTGGTTTGAATAGGAATGGCTCTCATAGGCTCATATGTTTGAATGCTGTTCTTTAGGGAGTAGTAGTACTCTTTGCTGGGGATTAGGAGGTGTGGCCTTGTTGGAGTAGGTGTGGCTTTGTTGGAGGAAGAGTGTCAAGTGTCACTGGGAGTGGGCTTTGAAGTTTCAAATGCTCAAGCCAGGCTGTCTGCTGCCTGTGAATCTGTATGTAGACCTCTCAGCTACTTCTCCAGCACCATATCTGCCTGTGTGCCACCATGCTCCCCTCCATGGTGATAATGGACTGAGCCACTGAGTTGTAAGCCAGCCCCAGTCAAATCTTTCCTTTAGCTGTCATGGCCACAGTGTCTCTTCACAGCAACAGAGCAGTGTCTAAGACAGCAGGGAAGAGACACATGACCAAACAGCTTATAAAAGAGAAAGCCTTTAATTGGGGGCTTGCAACTTCAGAGAGAGCCCATGACCATCATGGTGGGAGGAATGGCTGCAGACAGGCAGACATGGCTCTAGGGCAGTAGCTGGAAGCTCGCATCCTGATCTGCATGCAGCACACACACACAGAGCTAACTAGAAACAGTGAGGGGGTTTGAAATCTCAAAGCCCACCCATGGTGATAAACCTCCACATGCCACGTGCCTTAATCCTTTTCAAACAGTTCCACCAACTAGGAACCAACTGTAGCATGATTAATAAAAACCCAGAGACAGATATCGGGGTTCAACCTAAAGGTCAGAAAAACGAAACAGCCAGCCACTGGCTCTTACCTCTCTCTACCTCAGTCTGAAATGGCGATCCTGCCTCCAGGAATCTCAGAATGAGACTGTGACTGAGAGCTGTCTCCTCCCATCTTATATTCCTCCCTAGGACTGGGATTAAAGGTGTGCACCACTACTGGCCGGTTTCTATGGCAAACTACTGTGGCTACTGGGATTAAAGGTGTGTGTCACCACTTCCTGGTCTGTAAGGCTGACCAGTGGGGCTGTTTTACTCTCTGATCGTCAGGCAAGCTTTATTAAAATACAAATGAAATATCACTACAACCAATCATTCAAATATATGAGCCTATGGCGGTCATTTGCCATTAAAACCACTGTAGAGGAAGGCAAGGGAGAGGTTTGTAGGCCAAGAGCAGGGAAGGTTCAGAAAGAATGCTCCAAGCAGTAGGCAGCATGGGCAAAGGCCCAGGGGAGTGGGAAAGAGGGTGATGAGGAGGAGAGGTGGAGCCGCAGTGTGCAGAGGGCAGCGTAGACAGCCATGCCTACAGATCAGATTCGAGAGAGCGGACGTGGAAGAACCCCATGAGCTCCACGCTAACCTGGCTAGGAACAGAGATGAACTGGATGGCACTAGAATCAGGGAACACAAATTCTCAGAGGCCACATAGTGTGTCCTGGTCCAGTGCTGTAAGATGTATGACACCCTGGTCCTCCAATGACTGTTCATTACAATGGGACTTTCCTTAAACCAGAAATGGTGCTTCAGGCTAATCAGGTTGACAACAGACAATCCAGTATCTTGCAAACTGCTTTCTTCCAATATTTTATCATTTTTGTACATAGGTGTTTCTCCTGCATGTATGT